CTTTCAATTCGAGAAAGGGCAAAATCATCTTGCGAATTTTCATTCCAATCTCACAATCAAGATGTAACTGAGTAATATTGAAATAAATTAGTTTTTCAATCAAACAAAAAATATTACGCTGTTTTAAAAGTCCTAAATTATCTCTCTACAAATAAATCAACTCATCCCTAGGCTTAGACAAATCTGACTCCAACTTTTCAGTCCACATGCGTCTCTCTTCACTTTTGCTCGAAACCCTGCCGAGTTGATCGATTAAGTTAGAATTATTCAAGTGGGTCCTTTTTAAACTATCACCGAAACTAGATATTGTATATTTGAGATCATCTAATTCAGTTTCATATTTAGACACAAGAATATTTAGATATTTAAGAATGGTGTGTACCTTGTTTATCACCCTCTCGCATTTGCTAATCTGCTTTGGGACGGGTTTCACTACGAAAAAATTGTCGAAGACATGACCGCCTTCAATAGCGTATCCTCTAAGCTCTGAATCTTCCTTTGTCACCACAAAGCACCTTCCACTAAACTACAAATCATCACCTTTCTTCATGAAGCTTCTTCCATGAGTTAGTCTACGAACATCTTCGTCTTCAGAGTCAGTTGACCACACTTTGACCCAGCCAAACTCATCATCATTTTCCTGCACGATTAAAGCAGGTTTAGCTTCATCAAAACTTTTTTTTTTCTTGATTTCCTCCAGCTTCCTGAGGAAATACGCCTCATCATCTTCTTCTTCTTTCTTCTCATTCATCCTTTGTAGGATGCACTCCTTTTCCAGATGATTTTTTCCATGATAGTAGTTACAATCATAGCCGGAGTCACCTACGAGCTTCTTCTCTTTCTTCAATTCTTCCTTTTGATAGTTATTCGCACTCTCATCTTTCACCTTCTCAGAACTATAACTCCCCTACCAATTTTGGTTTTTGTTGCGACCGAAAATTTTCTTTGCGAACCTCCTTGGATTGGACACCATTAAAGCATAATGTTCTTTACATAGTTCACAATCGGAGAGATCAGAATCCGAACCATCATCAGCAACCTTCTTTCACAAGCGCCAATGAACCCATTCCTGCAACAACCTTTTCCTTTACTAGTCACCTCATCTTCATGTGACCTCAGAATACCAATGAGATTAGCCAATGAGTAGTTTTTGAACTGCTCGTATTCTTTCACTGTTGACACCACAACTTTCCATTCGGACCTCAACCCGTTCCTAAAAGTCACCTTCTGCTCAATTAGTTCTCGCTTGATCTTGTGCTTCACCATCCTGCTCAAAATATGGTTGTAGCGGTTAAATGTTTGGTCAAGCTTCTCCTCAGGCTTCTGAACAAGGCTCCAAACTCTAAAAGTAACAACGTTTGGATTGAGTGTTCAAGATCAGTATCGCTTGATTACAGTTCCCTAAGCCTATCTCATATCTCTTTCGCTGTTTCGCAGGAACTTACCAAGCGAAACATGTTTGCTGGTAAAGCAAAGCGAATAATCCTCGTCGCCTTGACGTTGTTGAGAAGCTTGTCCCTTTCATCTGTAGGAACATCATTGACTTCAAGAAGAAGATCGTTGTACTCTGCTTGAGTCTTGATAACTCTTTTTGTACCTGTGTGAGCAAATATCTCTTTGGTTATTGCATCCCATATCAAGGAACCGTTATCTTCCAGACCTAGCACATAATCTTCAAAGTTCATTGCCCACGCTTAATTGTCGTTTGGAAACAGAATGGGGTCCTTGTGGTAGATCCAATACTGCTGGAAAGATTGATTGAACTAATGTGAGAATCATCAGATTGCATGTTGTTGATTTGATGAAAACCAATATGAACCAGATGTGTAAACCTAAAATCGAGTTTAGGGTAAAATAAAGATCAAGATTTAACGTATGTAATCAATGAAATTGAAGAAGATGGCAATCCCAGATCCTATTATAGCAGAAACGCTAATAGCTCTTTGACAGAAGAGATGCGTATGGATTACACAACCTCCTGCTCTGATACCAATTATTGAGATTAAAACTCTAATGATCAATAGATTCAAACGGGTAAACAAATTAAGAAGAAGGAATGAATATCAAATGTGTCGTATGATTCAATATCGTAGCCTTAGAAGAGCTCAATTAAGAACTGCTACTGTAAAGGTGTGTAGGGTCTACAATGCAATTGGACGATTACAAAAACTAGTGCATGCATGCACCTTAAATAGTTAAACCTTAATAAATAAATAACGGGTGGATAGGCCCAACCCGAATACATAAAAGATTATACAAAAAGGCCCACAATGATGCAACTCAATAAGCTCAAACGTATGTTTGTGTGTGTATGTGTGTGTGCGTGAGAGAGAGAGAGAGATCATATTCAAAGAGGATAGTGGGAGTGCTATTGATCTTGAAGAAATTTAAGAGTCATCTAATGAAGGAGCCTTTGACAACACTAGCACCCAACCTAAGGAAGAAATTCTAGTCGAACCGTTTGACAACTCATTACACCTTTGTCGATCCAGAAGGGTTAGCATTCTACCTGAGTTCTATAATGTCCATATAACTACAGATGGTGATACGTTCGCTAGTGATCGTACACTGGTAAATTTGGATGAACCTGTTAACCACAAGGAAGCAATTGCAGGCCTGTAGGTTGCTAAATGGAAGGAAGAAATGGAGAGTGAGATTCAGACCATGTATGATAACCAAGTATGGAACTTGGTTGATCATGTACATGGTCGAAAGACAGTCAGATGCAAATGGATCTTCAAGAAGAAGACCGGAATGGATGGGAAATTACACACTTTCAAATCTAGGTTGGTAGCAAAGGGATTTAATCAAACCAAGGGATTGACTATGATGAGACCTTTTCACCGATAGGTAAGATACAGTCTATCATAATTAAGAATAACTGAATTTAAAAACGCATTTTCTCTCTCTACTATTCTCTCCGTTCAACGGTGTGTTTTTGGCTTGATTTCGTCATTGATTCTTCACCGGTGAGCTATTCCGTCTCAGTGTTGAAGAAATTTCTCTTCCATTTATCTTGTTGTGATGGGTGCTTCTTCCAAACAGGATTGTCTGAAGGATGTTAAGGTGAAGCCTCCGGATCGGAGTGCTGCGATACGTTATGTTAAAACGAAAGTTGATGTGAATGAAATGGTGCCTCTTGGGGTTATAGAGCAGTCCTCAACTACAATATTTCATGCTAGACGCAAGCCAAATGCTACAGGAGCTTTTGCTACATGGATTGGGAAAGTTGAGTGGAAGATGGAGGGAAAGGCGTTCAGAGTGAAGAATCGAGCTAGGAAAAATTTGTATCGTAGTTCTCCTATGGATGTTGAAGGATATTATGATAATGATTACACGAATGAAGAAATTGAGGTTGATTCTGGAAGTGAAGGGGTATGGGAATCGGATTCGAGTATTCAAACGAGATCTGAAATTAATCCGATTAAGATGGGGAGTGCTGGTACTGTACAAGTAATTGAAGGTAAGAGGAATGCTGAGATTCCGAATCTTCTTATTTCATCAGGTAACATTGCTCTTCTGACTAAAAATTGGGATGGATCTAAGATAGATGATGAGATGTTAAGCCCTAATGTTGATATTAAGCATATTATGAGTCAAATGAAGTCTGTTAATCCTTCGATTACTGTTAGTGATGAACGGAACATTAGTATGCAGGGTAGTGGTGATTCTCGTGGTGAGACTTCTAGTGGTAATACAATGAAAAGTGATAATGATAAAGGGGAATTGAAGAATAAGGTGAAAATGGTGTTGGTAATGAGGATTTTATTCCAGGAGTTGGATTCACTTTTCTAAGGGATGTTAACCAAAATAATATGGAATTGGATGATAAGAGTAATGCAAGTACAGTTGGTATGGGTAATGAGGGAAATCCCAATGTGAATGTGAATTTGTTTTGGGATGAGGAAGGTAATTTGATTAATACTAAGGAAGGAGTTTCAGAAGAGGAAATTGAGGTTGATACTGGATTTGTTGATCCAGATCAAAAGAATGGGAAGGGTAAAGTGGGTACAGTTATCAACAGCATTAATTTGGAACCTTCCTTGTTGGGTGATGCTAGTAAAAAAAGGGTTTAAGGGATGTAAATTCTGATTTGTCTCAGGATTTGAATGGTTCTGGGAAAGGGAGTAAGGTGAGTTCTTATGCAGGGGTGTTAAAAGGGAAGTTCATAAAGGAAAGATGGATGTTAAATACATTCCTCCTATTGATGGGAAAGAAGATGGTCCAGTTGTTATTCCTATAGAATTTGAAGAAGGCTAGTATTCCATATTCTAACACTCTATATGGATATTTGATTGATAAACGTATTTTGTTTCCAGCTGTTCAAAGGAGTTAAAGCGAATGTGGAAGAATGTGGGGTTAGAAGAGATGTTTATGAATAGTAAGGGGTTTTTCTTTTTCAAGTTCAGTGATGAATTTGGATTACAAAACATTTTGGAAGGGAGTCCTTGAATGCTTTTTGATAAGATTCCACTGTTTTTACAAAGATGGAGGCCTGGACTTACTCTCACGAAGAATAAACATAATAAGACTCCTGTTTGGATTAAGATTTATGATCTTCCATTGGAAGTGTGGAGTGGGGAGAATCTATGTATCATTGCTAGTAAGTTGGGTATTCCTTTGGCGTTTGATTCTTTTACTGAGGAGATGTGCCTTGATCATAAAGGTCGAAATGCTTATGCAAAAATCTTGTTAGGGTGCAAAGTCACTAGGGATGGCAATGGGTACGGGTATACCGGGTTTCATGTTCCCCATCCCCATACCCATACCCGACCCCATCCCCATCGGGGATTAAAAATCCATCCCCATCCCCAATGGGGGAACGGGGATCCCCAGCGGGTAATCGGGGAATTTTCCCCATTACAAGGTTTTGAAAGTTTATGAAAAAATAAGTCATAGATATATATATTAACAAACAAAAAAAAACTTATAGAAATAATATAAAGCACTTCAATCATCGAATGTATTCAAACACGAACAATAACTTTCAAGTTTACAAATCAGACTACTTTTTTGCAACAAAAAAAAAACATAAACATAAAAAGTCATCCAAAAAGTAGTCAAACATCGCCTATCATCCAAACAATAACAATCAAGTTCACCAAATTTCAATTCCAACTTTCGCATCGAACCATCATTTATCATATATTCACCTACCAACAAAAGAAAGACAAAGTATAAACAAATGCATGAAACAAAAAACTTTAATTTAATCGATTATAATCATGAAAAAATGGTTTCATTATTACCATCAAGTTTCACTGTCTGTGTCGTAATCATCAAAAATAGTTGCATGATTATCTGAGGTAAATTGCACACCTTCATCTAAATAGAACAAAAAAGTTAGTAAATTAAAAACAAATATAAATAATAATAAAATAGATGATTACCTTTGTTAACAATTTCCCACAACCAACTTTGTGCGCACATTAGAGCTTCAATTGTGTTTGGTTTAAGTCGACTTCGATGTGGGCTTATCAATCTTCCACTAGTACTAAATGCGGATTCGGAGGCAACGGTAGAGACGGGAATAGCCAATATATATCTAGCTATTGCTTGCAATATAGGATATTTCGTTGCCCTTAACTTCCACCACATCAAAATATTAAAGTCTTGAGATTCAGGCTCAATCCCTTCTTCTAAATAACGATCAAAGTCGGTTTTCAAAACCAATTGAGGAACTCTATTCTTGGCCTTCACATACTTATCCCAAGCCGACAAATTTTCATCACCATCCATTTCATTTGTGGAACCCGACCCCATATAATCACCACTTCTATGTGAATTTTCCATACTGTTTTCTTCGTATTCTTTAACCAAATCATCAGAAAAACTTTTGATTCTACTAACTTGATTCACATAGTCTTTCGGATAGAGAAGTTGGAAATAAAATTCTATCATTTCCATCTTGTAACGTGGATCAAAAACTGCAGCAACACCTATCAACTCATGAATAGTACCCCAATAATGATTGAACTTTGCAATCATTTGCGTTGCCATTTTTTGCACGATTATATTAGAACAAGAATTCCATTTAGATAATTCAAGTCTAATCTCACATATTTTAGGAAAATATAAGTTGGTTGTGGGGTACTTTGTTCCATAAAAGATCGTGGTGATATTATAAAATAATTCCAATCTCCCACATATTTCTTGTGTGTTCTCCTAATCTAATGAACTGGGCAATGTTTTGTATTGACTATCACATTGTTTTAAACGCCCAAAGACCACTTTATACATTAATGCCACTTTCAACATCAAGTAAGTTGAATTCCATCTTGTGGGGCAATCTAAACCTAACTTCTTGGAGTAAGGTATTTTGAGTTGTCGACATGAGCTCTCAAATGTATCAACCCTTTTGGGGGTTGCTGTCCAATAAGCTACACTTTCACATACATTTTCAATTGATCCTTTAATGACCTCTAACCCAATTTTGACAACAAGATTAAGAATATGAGCCGCACATCTCATGTGAATGTGTGTGCCATCATGTATCAACTTATTTATTTGCAACTTTTCTTTAATCTTACCGATTAATGCATCATTCGTAGTACAATTGTCCACTGTGATAGTAGACAATTTGGTGTCCACATTCCACTCCATCAATGCATCGATCAAAACATCTGTGAGAACTTCACTTGTGTGTGGGCAAGGCACATAAACAAACCTGTCAAACATAATAATCATAAAGTTAAAAATGGTCATATAACATACAACAAAAAAAAAACTTGATAAGAAGCAGTACCTTAATATTTTACTTTGAAGACACCAATCATGAATATAATGACATGTGATAGCCATGAACCCTTTTTTTTGATTGGTCGAAGTCCACATATCAGTTGTAATGGCAATTCTACCTTGCAAATTTTCAATCTTTTGGATAAACCTTACTTTTTTCCATCGCATACACATTTTTAATGTCACTTTTTAATGTATTCCGACAAGGGCATTTGAATAAAGGTTGAATGGTCCTTGTAAAATTCTTAAAACCAACATGATCAACAATAGAAAGAGGATACTCGTGTAATATAACCATTTTAGCCAATGCATTTCTACTATCATTCTCATTGTAGACATATGTAGACAAATCGGTTTTCGAGTTCGATACCAAAAGTTTTTGGCAAATATCGGTTTGGCCCTTAGCTATGCATTTGTACCTATGTACTAACAAATGTTCGATGCCATTTTTTGGATCTGCTCCTAGTAATGCGTTACAAGTTTTACATTGTGCCTTCAGTTTCCCATTAACAGTAACTTTAACAAATTGATCCCAAGCAATGCTTTTTTGTCTTTTGTTTGGAGGATTTACCGCATCTGATTGAAGTGATTCTTCAAAGGAAGGAACATTTGGACTTGTATTATCATGTTCAACATCAACATTTGTAGAACCAATTGGTGTTGAAGGTTGTTCACTCACTGAGTCAATCTTTTCCATTTTCTGCCCAAAACAAATTAATCACACGAGATTTCAGCATATAAACATTCATCACAATAGATATTCAGTGTTTCAATCATACACAAATACACAATAGATATTCGCAATAGACAACAATTAATCTCCACTGATACATATACATTCATACACAATTGACTGAACATGGGGAGGATGCAAAATCATCAATCGGACTCAAAAGTTAAAAATCGAACGGACAAACCTGATTGAACGTCAATGTACTCAATTGACCGCCGATTATCCGTCGTTTGATGGTGATGCTGGAGTAGTGGTATAACACAACGTCGATGGAGAATGAAGATGGTTGCCTCCTTGTCGGACGCCGGTTAGAACTTGGAAGTCGAAATGTAAATTCGCAGTCTCGCAGATGAAGCAAGGCAGGAGCGAGGGCAAACAACGTCACAATAGGAGCGGGAGCAGAACTCAATGAAGACTTGAAGAGACGATGAGTTGATTCAGGAATAAAAAAAACCCTATTGAGTATTGACTGTTTGACTTAGTTTCACAATGAGGTGAATCGACAAGAATTTTGAATTGATTAAAAATATAACGTAATTGAATTTACACTTGATAGAATTTTTGGTTTTTGCCATCCCTAGTTTTAGTGGCATATTTCTTATGCCACTATAAGATTTTTGGTTTTTGCAGCCCTTTTTAATGCCACTATATAATTGTTAAAATAAAGGTAATATTTTTAGTTTTTAGTTTCATTTTTTTCATCACAAAGCATTTAATATTTGAAAATTTGGTATTTTTGTTTATAGATTTAAATGGAATATAAAATAAAAAAATAAATAATAATAGAATAATAAATGGAAAACACAAAAGAATTGCTTATATTAAAATTTAACTTGTCTTACAACAATATTACCAATACTTCAAACAAAAATATCTTTCAAAATGTTGAATAAGGAAAATCTTTTATGCAGCAAGAAGATACTTCTCTTCCTCAGCCTTTCTACCCATCAGAACCCAAGATCATTTCCTAATTTTGCCGCATTTTCAAATTGTTCTCTTTCTAATTGATTGGATTAGGGTTGGAGAAGTTACATAGGATTGAGAATGTTTTGTGTAGAATGAGATCTCAAAATCAAAGACTTCGATAATTTCACAGAACTTGAAACAAAGAAAGATGGTATTAGAGCTACAAGTACAAGAAATTAATCGTTTAGACTAGATAACCATAAAGATAAGGAGAAAATTAGAGCTAAAAGTACAAAAATGCCCTTAATCTCTCTTTTTATACATCAGAGCAAAAAACATCATTTAAAAAAGAAAAGACATGTTACAAATTAAGGTTGACCAGATTGTTGACTGCAAAACTAAAAACTAAAATATATTTATTTTGATAAATTAAGGTTATCTGTGAACGATGTCTACTTAAAATGGAAAAAATATAATGCAATGATACAATTCATGTAGCCTCATATGCACTAGAAAACCACCTGGTAAAAAGGAAAAAAGGAAATGCTAAATACAAACATATACAAGAAAAAACATTGCAAGTTACAATAATAATAGTAGTAAGGGTAGACCTTTTTGAAATGGACAGAATTGCCCCAACATCAAAACCTTCAGCTGTGTCAGCCTCAATTACACAAAGCTCACCAGAGATAGCTCCTTTGATCTTCCACCATGCAAGAATTGATGCTAACACAACTATCTAACACAATCCCTTTCTTGAACACGCCCTTTTGTTGCCCCACTCCTTCCCTTTCTTATCAAACCTTCTAGATGGCAAACCAACTGTCTTCAAACACCCACAAACAAAACACCATTCTTAGATTCATTAACACATCAATATCAAGATTCCGAACTAAAAAAACAAAGAATAGTGTATACCAACTCCATGCAATATCCTTGAAACTGAGCATCTTCAATCTTTTGTATATTTGACATCTGAAGAGTGAAAGTTATAATCAATATGAGATATAATACACATTATGAGAATATAGTAAATATTACCTTATCAGAGGGATGTGTGCTTTAAAAAGTTTTTCAAAAATATCATTTAAAAAGCCAAGACCCGTTACATATTAAGAGAATGTTGACTGCAAACTTAAAAACTAAAATATATGTATTCAAGGACAACGACATGGTGAACGCTATATTGATCTTTCAATATTTTTGAACAAAATAAACAACAAGTTGATTATCTTTTCAAAATGAAGTTTGAGCGTTTTAAAATACAACCCTGGTTCAGATCAGATAAACCTTGAAATCAATTTATTCTTGAACATATAGATAAATTCCCTTAACCAAATCCCTACACATTTCAATAACAACAAAATGTGGAAGGTGTAAGAAAGAGGGGAAATGTGCATACTATATGAATTATGATTTATGAAGAGCAAAAAAAGGCAATTACAATCCATGGGGGAATAACGAAAACCCTAAATCCGCTTATGAGAATCTGGAGACGAGATGGAAGAGTGATTGAAGGAGAGTGAAATGAGTGAAGAATGCAAACCTGACTAGGGATTGTGTTCTTCATGGGGAAATAACGAAAACCCTAAATCTGCTCCAATTAGAAATAAATATGATTTGATATGCGATACATCTGATCCGATGTGTCATACATACCCGATTAACCTCCGAAATCTAGCGTATTGATAGTAGAAAACAAAACCTTCGTATTAGGAAGAATATCAAATATTTCTGCTTGATCCATATAAGAACAAGGCAGAGATATGGCTAGGAGAGCTAGCGGCGGTACAGTGTTGTTGGTGAGGAGGATAGACGATGGTGCTCCATTAATCATTGTGGGGAGGAGAAGAGTGGTGGAGATGTGGCTTGGAGAACTGGCGGTGAACCAGTGACGATGAAAAGAGACGTGATTTATTCCTTTATTCCGATTTCATTTCTCAAAAAAAGAGCGGAAGGTCTTCGACTGTCGAGGGTAAAATTAGAATTTTCCATAGATAGTGGCACATATAATATGTATGCCACTAAAAAGATAATATAGTGGCCCAAAAATTAATATGTCACTAAATGTAATTTTATTTGTAGGGCATGAAATCTTTTTTTTTTTTTTTTTTTTTTTTATATCTTAATGAAACATTCTAGACCTAAGACGTTTCTTACCAATAGATTCGATTTTTATTTTTTCTTGAGATTTCTATGCTTATCCTAGTCACTCAAAATAATTCCAAAGCATACTTGTTTTTATGGCTACACCGGTCAGATAAGTACTTCATCCGAACGTTCTTACTTATATCAAGTTTCGTAGTTTGGTTGAAGATAAATCCACCCTTAAAGCTTAGTGAAAAGATGCCTTTCACTCTTTCTCAACAAACATGTTATCATAATTCATGGGAAACCACACAGACACTTTAGAGTCTCTTAACTCCGAAGGAAGAGATCCTTGCTCGGGATCCATCTGCTTCATGTCTTAAGAGACATCACTAGAATCCCTTAGTATTGTGTTGATTTATTTCTTTATCTTTGGCACACTCTCGCACAAAGATCCTTGTGATTTTCCAAATTCTGGTTCATGGTACTTAAGTCATATTTACTTTCTGTAACATCCCGGAATCGCAAGAGTAAGTTTTAGAGGGCGACTCGGCGAGTCACATGGATGGACTCGGCGAGTCAGGTCGCACTTTGGTCGCGTGTTAAATGGCCTACTCGGCAAGTCCAAAGATGGACTCGGCGAGTAGGTGCTGGGCGAAGAAAAACCCTAATCCGGGGAATGAGCCCTATATAAAGATCATTATGTTCCTCCACAGCCTCCTTGATCCCCCCTTGAGTCCCAGAAACCCTAATTTCGTGGAGGAACCCCTTTGTTGAGCAATTTGGAGCTTGGAGAGGTGCTTGTTGAAGAAATCTTGAAGGAGAAGAGGCTTGGATCAAAGGGCTTTGCTTGGATTCGAGTTTCATTGTTGTTGAGGCATTCTTTGGAGGTAATACTTTCGTTCTTGGGCTGTGTTCTCCTAGATTCTCATTTTGGGGTTGTGTGGGAAGCTTAGTTGTGTGACATCTTGAGTTTGAAGGATGGATCTGAGGTTGCTACCTCAGATCTGGAGTGGAGAAGATCTTAAGAGCATTAAAGCCCCTGTTCTTGTGTTGTTAATGGAGCTATCATGTCCCAAACCTTAGTTCTAAGGTGAATAAGGCCTAGATCTCTTTGGATTCACGTAAAGTTTGCCACTTTACGTGATGGATGGATTGTAGGAGGTTGGATCTATGTTTTGGATCAATTGCATGGCCTGAGATGCTTCTGTATGGATTCAGACCGGTGGTACTCGACGAGTCACATGGGTGGACTCGACGAGTTGCTTGAAGATGGCCTGGAACTCGACGAGTTGGAAGAACAACTCGGCGAGTAGGTTGAAGATAGCCTTAGACTCGGCGAGTCTGTTCTTGGACTCGGCGAGTCTTGTCGAAGAGTCCCAATATTTCCTGGTTGAGTCGAGAATCGGTGAGTCAAGGGATGACTCGGTGAGTTGGGTGCGAGTGG